GAGAGAGAGAGAGAGAGAGAGAGAGAGAGAGAGAGAGAGAGAGAGAGAGAGAGAGAGAGAGAGAGAGGAAGAGAGAGAGAGAGAGAGAGAGAGAGAGAGAGAGAGAGAGAGAGAGAGAGAGAGAGAGAGAGAGAGAGAGAGAGAGAGAAAGAGACAGAGCAAGAGAGAGACCGAGAGACAAAAACCAGAAACAGAAACAAATAAAGAGAAAGACAAACAAGCGGACAAAGAAACAAAACCGAAACACAGTCAAAAGGAAAGAGAGAAACAGAGGCACAATGGCAAACAAACCCAGCAGTCTAAACTTAAGTGCAAAAGGGGCCTGGCGAGCTGAGTCTCCCCTGGACACTTTATTCCCACTTAGTCGCCTCTTAAGGACCTCCAAGAATTATTACTTAATCTTATCTTATTATCTGCGTGTCTGAGCATTGGGTGGCTTTCTTATAACTGTATCTTATTAATATATTTGCGAATAATAGCATTATAATCGTTGTTGTTATTATGTTTATCTAGGAAATGGGGGAGAAGATGGAGAGGGAGGAGGAAGATGACGAGAAAGATAAGGAAAAGGAGGAGGAAGAGGAGAAGGAAGGGGAAGAGGAGGAGGAGAAAAGGTTGAAAGAGGAGGAAGGGGGAAGAAGGAAGAATAGGAGAAGGAGGAGGAAGGGAGGAAGAAGGAGGAGGAGAGGAGAGGAGGAAGAGGAGAAGGAAGGGGAAGAAGAGGGAAGAAGAGAAGAGGAGAAGGGTAGGAAAGAGGAGATAGGAGGAGGAAGAGGAAAAGGAAAGGAAGAGGAGAAGGGGGAGGAAGAGGAGAAGGAGATGAAGATGAGGAGAAAAAGAACGTTGATGATAAAGAGGAGTAAGAGGAGAGGTGATGGAGGAAGAGGAGGATGGTAATGATAATAATAATTATAACAAGAACAATGTTAATAACAGTAATAATGATTATATAAATAATGATGATATCTATAACAACAATAATGATAACAGTAATAAAAGTGATAATAATGATCATAAAATTATAAAGTTAATAATAATGATAATAAAATGAAAATGGTGGTTATGATGATATAATTAATAATGATAATAATAATGATGATGATGATAGGCAATAACATTGATGATAATAAGGAATATTAATAATATTGTAATGATAATTAAATAATAGTAACAGAAATAATAATATGATAATAGTAATAAAAATAATGATAATAACAACGATAATAATAATAATGATAATGAAAATAGTAATTACAATAATAATAAATATGATAGCAGCAGCAACAACAGTTGATAATGAATGATATTTCATTGTAATAATAATGATAATGAAAATGATGATTAACGATGAAATAAGAAAATTGATAATAACATGTATAACATAGTAATATAAAAAATGATAATGAATAATATAACAATAATGATGGTGATAACAGTGATAATAACTATAAATTAATAATGATAGTAATAATGATTATAATAATAGTCAAAAAATGATAATTAATAATAATGATGAGTGTAATTAGTAAGATTATAATAAATTGATTATAATGATAAATGAATAAATAATGATAAAAAATATATACATAATATATAAATTATAATGATGATAATGATTAATAACCGTAGTAACAATAGTGTGATAATCCTCCCCCTCATCATATAATAAAGATAGAATGAATGGTGAAACCAACTTATAACATCATGATAATGTTCTTAACAAAATATAACAAAAAATCGTAAGTCTAATAAATGTAATACTATTACTACATATTCTAATATCAGTAAACAACAACAAAAACAACAACAAGAAAACCAACAACAGCAAAATCAACAACAACAACATTGATAATGATCATATTAAACTAGTATTAGTATACCTCTTGGTGCAGCTGTAGGCCCTTGGGAACAGAAGTGATGCCATTATTACTAGGTATGATAATAATACGTTTCGAAGGCTGAAGAAATGAAAGAAAGAGAGAAAAAAGGATTGATAGGCGAGTAGGGGAGAGGCGTTGACAACATACTATGATGTCACTGAGGATATACTTCGATTATAGGTGTTCCCGGTTGCCGATATGTCTGTTTATTTCTATAATACACACACACACACACACACACACACACAACCACACACCATCACACACACACACACACACACACACACACACACACACAAATCTTTCTCATAATGAAGATTCTCTCTATTCTCTCTTCTACTCTTCATTAATGTTCTAGAAAAATGAAAAGGAAAAAGAAAAAAATCCTAACCACCGCACTTCCACCGACAAACAGCTCAAACAGCTGTTCTCCTTGTTAGTGGAGCCTCGTTCGTCATCCGCCTGTTATCGAATCTTTCAGCGGCCGAACAAGTAACTCCAACGGCTGTGTTGGTCGAAGGCAGTCTTTTGGACATGACGAAGTAAAAAAAAAAGTCATTCTATCCGTTTAATGGATATTAGTTCGTATTTTACAAATTTCTTGACTAATTATTCCTGAACGACTTATAGAACCATGATATATAGAATTGATAATAAAAAATTACATCGATTTCTTAACAATGAGTCTATTTCTATTGCTTTTATTTCACAAAAAAAATCTACTAACGGCTGAGGAAAATATGGAATAAAACAAAAAGAAATACAAAAGAAGACATCAATTGAACGTGTTTTTGTTCCCCTGGACATAAGGTAGATTTTTTTTTTTTTTTTTTTTTTTTTTTTTTTTTGCCTTCCCCCTTGTAAGGCCTTGTGTCATCTGTGATATCAGCTGACTGCAAGAACCCGCCCCGCAGCAGCCGACACGTATTAGGCAGCTTGAAATGTTTGTTGCACAGTCATATTGCGAAGTTATGGGTGTGTATGCATTTAAGTATGTGCATAAATAGACAACGAGAAAGAAGGGTTAGGGAAGAAATAGAGAAAGAGAAAGAGAGAGAGAAGGCAGGTGATAAGGAGAAAAAAGAGAGAGGAGAGAGAGGGAGTAAGAGAGAAGAGATGGGAGGAGAGAGAGAAAGAGGAAGGAGGAGAAAAAGAGAGGATTTTTTATTTTATTTTATTATAGATTGAAGATCTTATTAAAAAATTAGTTTTAATTCCATTTGTTGCAATGGAAAATTCTTGCTGTGACATACTGTCTGTTTTATAATACTTCCAAATCTCCCCCTGTGTACAAGGAATGGCCGGGGTTACCATCCACTGGCTGCGCGTGGGATTGAACGCAGGTCAGCAAGATTGATAGACCAACACGCTAACCGCTGCGCCACACACACGGACTCGCACAGCACAAAGCACAAGCACAAGCACAAGCAGCACAACACACGCACAACGCACACGCAACAAGCACAAGCACACACACACGCACACGCACACACACGCACACGCACACAGCACGCACACGCTACACACACGCACACACACACATCACACACACACACACACACACAGGAGAGTAAATGAGTCAGAGCGAGCGAGAGAAAGAGAAATGAAAGAGAGAGACAAAAAGAAAGAATGAAAGAAAGCAAAAAAGAAAACGATAAAGACAGAGAGAGCGGACAAAAAACAGGAAGACAGAGAGCAAGAAAAGAAAACAACACCACATTTCCACCCAGCAAAAGCACTTAGGCACACAAGGTCAAGCACGTACTGCCGAGAAGGAAAACTCCAGGACGCCTCCATCACGTCCGCGTGTGGCCAGGAATCTATTTTTTCTCGTTCTCTTTTTTTCTCTCTTCTTCTTTTCCTAATTTTTTCTTTTTACCATTTCATCTGTTATTTTTGCTTCTTTTTCCTTTGTTTTCTTTCTCTTTTCTTTTTAGACCACTGCTTTTCATCCTTAAGTGTGCAATAGTCTTCTTGCTGTGTGTGTGTGTGAGAGAGAGAGAGAGAAAGAGAGAGAGAGAGAGAGAGAGAGAGAGAGAGAGAGAGAGAGAGAGAGAGAGAGAGAGAGAGAGAGAGAGAGAGAGAGAGAGAGAGAGGGAGGGAGGGAGGGAGGGGAGGGAGGGAGAGAGGGAGAGAGGGGAGAGAGGGAGAGAGGGAGAGAGGGAGAGAGAGAGAGAGAGAGAGAGAGAGAGAGAGAGAGAGAGAGAGAGAGAGAGAG